CGTGATCATCACCACCAATGCGGCAGGCGCGACGATCACCTCCACCCTGGCAGAGATCACCAGCTTCATGTCCGTGGTCAGGTACACCATACGCTCTGCTTTTCCAGTCGCAAATCCAGATCTGACGACCGATCAACAACACGGAATCGAATGGCCGATGTCACAACGATGATCTCCACCACCGCCATCGCGAACCCCCACCTGTCCACCAACTCACCCTCTTCCTCGAACACCTTCTTTGCCAATCATGGCGCCGTCGCCGGTCTCTTCTCCGGCATCGGCGTCGCCCTCGTCGCCACCGCGCTCTTTCTCTCCATCGCGAACCCCACCTGTCCACCGACTCGCCCTCTTCCTCAAACACCTTCTTCGCCAACCATGGCGCCGTCGCCGGTCTCTTCTCCGGCATCGGCGTCGCCCTCGTCGCCACCGCGCTCTTTCTCTCCATCGCGAACCCCACCTGTCCACCGACTCGCCCTTTTCCTCAAACACCTTCTTCGCCAACCATGGCGCCGTCGCCGGTCTCTTCTCCGGCATGCCCTCGTCGCCGCCGCGCTCTTTCTCTTACTCTGTATCCGCCGCCGCCCTCGCACGCGGCGGCTCCAACACGACTAAAGAAGGAAACCGCTGAGAAGCGCACCCTAAAAACTCGGTACGGATACGCTATGCATGCATATGTGAGTAATGACTAGGCTACCTCACGTATCGAGCATTGTTCCGGTAGTATTCCTCCATCGCATCGTAGTAATCCTGACGCTCATTATCGGGCACGCGGGCAACTGGTCGTGGCCTTGGTTTGACCGCTGCTCCCAAAACAGGCCGAGAAGTGAAGCTTGACGGGGGTCGGGACGGGGGTTGCAACACCGCAACCAGCGCCTCGCGATCTGCATGGGTCTGTTAGAACAATAGAATGAGAGAGAGTCAAACAGTCATAGGCATACCTGCGTCCTGCGTTGCAAGCGGGCGTTCCGGATTATCTTCCATCACGTCTCGGTGGTGAATTCCGTGACGGCCCATCATGTCGGACTATGCCAGCGGTCAGTAGGTTGCTGAGCGTCCGATATCGACGACATACCCCACGGGTCGAACCGGACACGTCCACACCATGCGACGGAGCGGTCATGTTGATGTCTTGATCACCTCCGTACCCGTCCACGGCCGCGCCGCGTTGGGCGCCATAGAAGGGGTTATGAGCGTGCAATTCGTCTCCGATTGAGTATGCCGCAGCATTCGAGACTTCGCGGTAACTTGGGGCGGGGCGGGAACTAAACGGAATGGGAGGAGGGATCAATGAATCTCGAACATAAGCATCACTATTAGGACGGGCAGTCTCCTGGGTCGACCTTTGTCGAAGTAACGTCGCATCGAGATGCGGATCCTGAGGATAAGAATCGAAGGTCGGAGCTAACGTTGGCTGATGATATACATGGTGATGCGATGCGGGGGTAGACGAATCGAATAATCGAAAATGAGTGTTTGCATCCCGACGATGTGGGTTGACAACTGTTGAGGCGAGGCGACGTTCCTCCTCGAAGCCTGGCCCCGCAGAGTTAACGAGTCGGCGGAGCTGGCTCGACACATCAGCAGAAGGTGGCCGCTGTTTGTTTGCTCCAATGTTAGCTTGAGACGACGCATGCTCTGATGCTCGAGGGGGGCGGTGGGAGGGCTGAGGTAATGCCTCGATGCCATCATGCGACGACCAGAAGCCAGACGGCATCCCAAAAATGTCCTAAGAGCAGTTAGTTCACGCACCATTTCATCCAAGACATGATCGCGCACCTCGTTATCTCGAGCCGCGGGCGCCTCTGGTTCGACTGTCGTACGCTGGGACGCCGATGACTGCTGAGCAGCGGCAATCGAGCGTTTCGGCACGATGCTTGTACCCCTGGTGGCACCGCCCTTGCGATCCTTGCCAGTTTCGGGTTGCCGCACTTGGCTGGTACTTCCACCCGATCCGCCGGCCGACGTTTCCGCAGACATTAAATCCTTACGCCACTGCTCACTCGATGCGACGCGCCACATCACCTTCTGCTTGAAGGGGCCGTGCATGATGATGGTTTTACCATCCGCAACGACGAACTCCTCATTCTGCACCCATGCCAGGATGAGGGGCACGTGGCCAAGATCCTTCACCGGTAATTTCATCTCGTCTGGAAAGCTCGTTAATGAGACTTCGACGTGTCATGTTGCGAATTGGGATGCAATCGTACCGTCATTCCAAGGTACGATCTCGAACTTGATGCCGTCCGGGTCGTTCTGACTCCACGGCGCGACCATCTCTGCAACGACCTTGCCATGGCCGCTAGCCTTGAGGTCAAAGTCGAGTGTGCCGGCCTTGCAACGGCTGAGTACGGCGTCCGGGTGCATGTCGACGATACGAAGCTTGTTGAAGTATAGAACCTCCACTATGGTGGACCATCGTACTTTGTCGTCCACGACACCGACCGCTTCTACAACAGATATGAAAGAGATTACCGTACGAAAGCGCGGATCATAACATACCGAACTTGTGCTGGAAAAGACACGTCAGGATCCGATTGCGGTAATCGCGAAGTCCTTCCCCTTTGTTTCGAACAGGGACGACGAAGGGACGTGCTGGTTGCGAGGAAGGCGTAGCGCCAGGGGCCATCGGAATCGTGATTCCCTTGAGTTTTGCCTGAGCGGATCTATCGGGCAGTATTACACAGGTCACACAATGAAATACCGAATCAGTATGCGATATACGTACCGCAACAGCCCCTGGTACGTAGCGATGTTCTCAATATGATCGGTCGAGTGTTCTTTCTGCACTTGGGCGACCGCCGGAGAGTTGCCGAACATAATCCCCGTGCCCCCGGGTCGGATATCGATCGCGTATCCGATGATGTGGAAACCTTTTGTTCGCAGGAAGTGGCGACCCTGGAAGACTATCAGCAAGCAGGGAAACGCAAACTTGGAAGCGACAGACCAGCGACGTAAACTCGGCAGCTGCACGACGAAGCTCCTTCTCCAGTTGTCCTTTTCTGAGGACCTTCTCCGCGAGCATCTGACCGCGTTCGATATACCAGTCGATGACATGCTTGAACGCCTCGTGCCGCTTATCCCTATCTTTAAGGGGAATATCCTTTGCGATGGCATGGTAGGCATCTCGCATTCGGTACATGAATTCTTCTTCTGTCTCTACAAGCGTTTCATCAGCAAAAATATTGATGCCATCCCGGACGAGCGAAGCGTACCACCGGGTTTGCTATGTTCCGCGGAGAAATAGGTCTCGAAGACAGCCCACAGATTCAGGTTACGATGGCGCACGGTTTTTGGAACGTCGATCAAGTCCGTGATTATGGGGATGGGCTTGCCCGTGAGTTCAGCCATTTCGGATATAAATGCGTCGTGGCGAGCAATTTCTGCATCAATCATAGCCTGGTGCTCCTTGCTAATCCGACCAGGCTTCGACTTCCCCGCTGCTGCTATGTTGATAGAAGATGAACTCCGTGGACATCAACAAAGACTTAATCGCTACCTTGCACTTTCATCCTCTCACTGCCGCCAGCTGCTGGCGTCTCTCCATCGTCGCCCTCGTTGACGCTAGCATCTGATTCTGCAACATCTTCCTCGTCATCAACTCGGCGGGCCTTGTTACCTGCTTTAAGATCAGTCCACGGAGGAGTCGATGAGAGGGAGAATTAGCCCGTACGTTTGGTTGCCTTCGAGTTTCTCTTTTTGCCCCCTTTGGAGCGCGTAGAAGTGTCGTTAACCTCACCATCTAGTTGATCCGTCAATTGGCATATAATATCGCGATGCAGATATGGCCTCACTGCGGGACTTGCCCTTGACTTGCGACTGTGGAGGCGCCTCATCACTGCTAATGTCCTGGGTGCCGGATCTGCGCTGTTTAGCGCGTTGGCGACGCGCCTCGTATTTTGCACGGTCGTGGCTGGAGGGCTCCCAGAGATCTTCTGCAAGAAAAGGTATCAATATACGAAGAACACATTGGGCTGGATGAACGTGAAAGGGTGTACCATATGCAGATCCTACGGCGGTCGTCGAGGCCGCACCCCTCGGGTTCGGTTCCGTGACAGACCCGCGACCGTCCTTGGCCACCACTAAGAACATAAATCAGTCGGTGTGTGGTTCGATGACATTGAGTTCATCACAATTACGACAAATAACTTTCTTCTTCTTCTGAACTTGAGAGTGGTCGCGCTTCTTTCGCTTGGTCGAGTTCCGCGCCTCCTCGTCAGATTCGACGGCTTCTTTCTCGAGAACCCGATCGTCCATGTCGTCCTCCTCCTCGATAGTCATCATCGCATCTCGAGAGGATCCTGAGGCACGTTGCTGTTCTTCGGCGGGCACAAACTCATCGCCGGACGGTTCTTCGTCGTCAAGAATGTGAGACAAGCTGCTGAAGTCGATCGGGCGACCGCGGACCGAGACATGTCTCTTGGGCACAATGGTGGGGCCCTCTTCGTCCTCGTGCTTGTTCCCGTTGTGCTTGTCCTCCTCCTCCTCCTCCTCCTCCTCCTCCTCCTCCTCCTCCTCCTCCTCCTCCTCGTCCTCGTCCTCGTCCTCCTCGTCCTCCTCCCCTTCGTCGTCGTCGTCGTCGTCAGGGACTTCTCTCTCGTCCCCCTCCGCGGCGTCGCCCGAGCCCGTGGACCTAGCGCCGACCTCACCCACGGTCTTAACTGTGGTACTATTATGTTCGCCGTCTTCGTCGTCGCTGTTGTTGCTGCCGTCGCCGTTGCCGCCGCTTCCCTCGTCCTCACCCCCCTGATCCTCGCCCGCGCCGCGTGGGCTCTGCTCGTTACTGTCGCCCTTCTCGTACATGTCGCGAGCACCCGCTCGTGCTTGTTCAGCGCCTTCGCGTGGGCTCTCGTTCAAGTATGCATGGTAGATGTCCTCATAATTCTGGCCATACAATTGTTCCTCCAAATCCAAGTCCAACTCGGTGACGGTCTTTGGGGGAGGATCATCTTCATCAGGTATCATCGCATCACCGCCGGGCGTCTCCTGAGCGCAAGAGCATAAGGGTGAAGCAATAGTCAATCAGTAGAAATGCTACACACCAAAGTTCGCGATTGGGTGCTCTCCTTAACCGAAGACGTGGACAAAGCAGGTCGATGTTGATCCATGAGCTTCCGCGATGAGCGCCGCGGGGGCGCCGTCTGAATTTTTTTGTCAGAAATGGGCAACGCCACGGAAAATGATAAGTTAATGTCGACGTGCCTGCGTGCGACCGCGTCCCGTCTTGCGGGTATTCCTGCCATTCTGCTTATGAGCATGCTGACCTGCAGAAACCGGCGGCTGATAGTCACGGTACAAGTTAGCGCACGTATATGCATGGGAGAGGCTAGCAACGTACGCGCGAAGGCACCTGCGAGGTATGACGAGCCTTTTTGGGGCTGGATGCCTTGATCTGCTCGTTGGCGTCGTCTGCAGGCTGAACGCGGGTCAGCCGTGAATTGGGAAGGAGAGAACACAACCATACGCGAGATCTTCTCAAGCGAGAGGCGCGGGGAACAAGATCTTCTATGGCCGGACCAAGCGAAGCGACCTCTGCTTCACCCCGAGTTCGGCGATGATTTACCTATATCAATTATGAGCGAAGGGTAACGGGTACGATCTTGACAGTGAAAAAGTATTCACCACTTGATTCAACTGCGCTTCCTGAACATGTTGAGAGTCAACATTTCCTTCTGGCTATTCGCAGTTCAGTATCACATCGAAAACATCTTAAATGCAGAGGCGACTCACGCAAGAGCGAACGTTGACCGAAGCGGCATCGTTAGGCTGGCAATCATCGACCTTGTAAGCGAACGTGAACGCAATAAAGGCCATACATCTGCTCACTCTGGTGGAGTCGTCCGGTGGATCCTCCGCTGACTGTTGACCGGTGGACATAGCGCTAGCGTGATCCTAGATGCGAAGGCATATCAGAGACGTCATGGAAGTATACGCCAATGGATACGGACGTTCGGCTCAGACATAGTGGAACGGTGGGGCGAGGATATGTCCAAACGCACGTTCCACCTTGCCCGGCCATTAATGCTAGATTGGAACCTGGAAACTCCGTAGTTCTCCGCTTCACGCTGTTTGTGTGTGCTTGCCGTTGCTTAGCGAACGTTTCATGTGGTGCTGATTGCATTGCCGACGTCCGCAAGGTGCTATCTGCAAATAATCATAAATTGATATGAAGCCGAGGGATGAATGATGCTACCCGTATGCTTGGTCACCCGCATCCAGACGAACAGGTCCCGCCGCTACGATGGACGAGCAGATCCAAGGATCCGGTAGAAATTGCACAGCGCAGAATCACCCCTCTTCCATCTCAATCACTTGCCCGGTCATGGTCGATACGCCCCGTCGAGTCCGTGCCATCTACGCGCGTCCTCTCAATCGTAGAGACCGCGTCGAACAATTTCGTGGATTGGAACATATGCAGCGATTGAAGGTGAGCGACTGTGACATGTCCGATTGTATTTCGCCGACCCTTTCAGGCGCATGAGTTCGCGTTCGGCATACTGCGCTCTTGTGTAGACGACGAGCCGTCTTCAGAGATCGTTCGGCACCACCTGCAGTATTATCACGACGAGTTCCAATTACTCGGGACGCCTCCCAAGGCTTACCTACGGTCCGTTTTCGCCCCTTGCGGTGTTCATCTGGGACGCCAAGGAAACGAGAATGTGAGTTCGTTTCCGTCTGTTGAAAAACTGTCTGAAACTCGCCATCAGACGATCGCCGATGTCTTTGGTGCGTTATACCGATTTTGGGCTTATCAACGTGATCAAGGGCAGCCGCATATCGAAAACGCTTCGGAGGATCTTCCACCTTTAGCCGACCACAATACGTTGGCACGCGCGATAACAGTTGCTCCAGCCTATGGCGGGTCTGACGGTCTGCAGGTCGGGAATCCTTGGTTCTTAGATTGGCGGAACAGGCACCAGGAGGTACTGTGGCATCGGTTTTGCGTTACTTGGTACTGACACGCGGTCAGGCCCAACTTCTGATGCATTCGGCCAAAGTCCCGAACTGCGTGGCTACCTTTGAGTGCGCGCCAGTCATCGATTACCATATGGCCAACTACCATCGTCTCCGTCTGACATGCGGGGTGAGCACGCACGGATATCTGGAACATGTCATGAAACTGGGAGGGATGTCGTTCCCTGAGTGCGATCAGTTCGTCAACGAGGTCCGATCCTTAGTAAGCTGCCCGTGAAAGATGCTCACCGATGTGATGTTTCACAGAATTTCGCTTCACTGTATGCAAGGTGGGCAGGCGTCAGCATGACCGCACTTGAGTCGCCCACGAACGTGACAGGTGGACTGTCGCTCCCGCACGCCGTTGATACGGAACATCTGTTGAATCGGCGAGGTCGCGGAGAGGGACCATGCTACTGGGGTGATGATCCATCGCCGCTTGACGAGGAGATCGATGAGGTGCTAGAGATAGAAGAACTCCTTGATGTCAGCCGGTACCGCATCATCTAGCAGCGGATATTCACCTCCCGAAAATTTTAGCGCACTCAAACGCCTTACTGCGTTGACGTGCTATCGGTTGTGGATACGATGTTCGGCCTTGAATCTTGATTTTGCGGATGAGCTTTGCGCGCATTGGAAATGAGCATTCGACTCCGCTGATACTGATATTCGCTCCGGGGGCCGCCGTACGGCAACCTTCGCGCACTCTCAAGCAGTCACCCCGTCTGCCGTACCGCCCGCACCACCGTAACACACCTCTTGCCATACTTGAAGCAGACCTGTATGCCCTTGCCAGCCACCGACGACGAGAGCTCCGAAAGCTTGTTGGAAATCCCTTTGAGCCAGTTCCATCCACCGGAGGTGCTCACACGTAAAGCGCAAGTTGAGCGACGACTCAGAGCCGTGGAGGTTAGCTTATACTCATCACATAATCACATAGCAACTCACGACGCTAGACGTCGCTTTTCGCATCGTTGCTCCTCGCCGAGGACTACGACCATGATCGATACAGTGATAATGAGATTGTGATTCGCCACTTGATATACTATCATCATGAGCGACGACTGTTTGGGACGACACCTGAACATTACCTCGAGTATCTCTTTGCGAGTACGAAGAGCGATTTTGGACACGAAACGTTTGAGGTGAGTTCGTGAAACAGGGAACCCCAGGTTATATCTGATGCTCTCGAAGCGCGTAGGGCAAAGGTTTCTTCATTTATATGAAGAGTGGAGTGAAGAGCGTATTCGTAGCGATGATCAAGACATGGCTGCACTCTATACACCCATGTTGGCGTACCTGACTCGCGACTGGGGTGGTCAATGGCTGAAACCATGGAGTCGCTGCACGATGGAGCCAAATTCGGATGACCCATGGGACGTGACGAACCCGTTCATATTTTGGTGGTCTGAGAGGAAGACGGAGGTGAGAGCATTTCAGGACGAATGATATATCTCCTGACCACTAACACAGGCAAAGCAACTCGTGCTATACCTCGAAGATCCCGACCGTTATCTTGAAATCGGTGGTACCTTTGTGCTTGTGGCACATATCGGAAACTTCCGACAATTCCGTTCACGCTGCAACATGGAAGCGGAGGCATACTTGACTCATGTCTTCGCGAACGGCGGTATTTCAGATCAGCGCTTCTTCCACGAAGCCTATCGGGAGGTGAGCCTTCGTGCTAGGTATAAGAAACATTTGTGGACACGATGGCGCACAGGAGCTTACAGACGCATTCTTATACCTGAGCGAACGATGGAGCAGCAAGGGTTTTATCAGAGGGGAGCCGTTCGCGAGTCGACTACTGCAAGGGGATGGTAGATCAGCGTAAGCTCATGCTAAGCCAGGGACTCGAGTAGACGTACTACGTGCAGTACGCAAACGTTGTGTACCGTGTTGAACCGTCCGTGATGTAGCATCGACGTTGTCGCCCAGAAGTACAGATGTGCCATTCGTTCGACAGTGTGCGATGCTCCGTAGCCCATCTCACCCACATGCAAGTATCCTGGGCGATCTCGTCGGTAGGGACTCGAGTAGACGTACTATGTGCCGTTCGTTCGACAGTGTGCGATGATCCGTAGCCCATCTCACCCACATGCAAGTATCCTGGGCGATCTCGTCGGTAGGGACTCGAGTAGACGTACTATGTGCCGTTCGTTCGACAGTGTGCGATGATCCGTAGCCCATCTCCCCCACATGCAAGTATCCTGGGCGATCTCGTCGGTACGCTGGTGTAAAGCTATCTCATCGATGCCGTGTCATGGACTAGTCGCTGCGCCACTAGAACATTTCCCGTACGGCGGTCAAGCGTGGCGATCAGAGGGTGGTTGAAGACGAAAGCTGCTCGTCGGTACCGGTACGCCCAATGAACGACAGTGTATATGGATATGTGAGGTGCCGCCGATGATGAGCGATGGTGATGGACGATGGGAGTGGAATTTCTGTTGTCAGTGATAGAGGCGGTGCCACCATGACATCGCAAGCTCAGTGAGTATCCTTCGCAATCTTGCTTCCCCCGATGGTGAAGGACTGTCAAAGCTTCGGAAACTTCAGACAGCTTGAGCACTAGATATAGCTGTTTATGATTGTGTCTAGTTGGCTATGGATAACGAACTCCATTGCGCCCAACCGTCCATCGCGGGATGTCTTGCTCGCACCATACCGATCTGCGCTAACGAGCGACAGTAAATGTATCCATAAGCGCGAAGCGTAGATATCTACTTTATATTATGTCTGACGTGCATAAAACAAGAAATGAGTAGAGTAGTATCCCATTAGCAAAAGCGCGAAGAAAGAATACCGAGCGGGCAATAGTTGTGAGGCCCGTGCCATCTTCTGTACTGATGCCGTCTTTCCGCGCCGTCTCACCTCTTAGAAGACTAAGTTGATCCACGCCGCTTAGGCAACTTACACAGGAGGACGGCGGTTGTAATATTCATTGATCCTTCCGTAAAGTTAGGAATTCGTACCCCAAAGCCGCACTTCCGCTGTGTTATACTAGTTAGCTGCTGTGTTCTCTTCTGTTTTTTGTTTTTTTGCTTGTCCCCGTTTCCTCTACCAGATATCTTCTACAAAGCTTTCGGCCTTGACTTACATGTGTTAATGATATTGTAGAACGAGCATTTCTTCTTCCGGATTCGCTCTATGTACAGGGGAGGTATCGAACAACGTTCACGCCCCGTGCAAGCTCTCGGTCAAGCTTTGCAAACGAACCGTGAAGTATCTTTACGAAGACATAAAAATATGCACAAGACTGTCTATACAATTCTGGAACACAGGATAGGCATGCACAATATCTAGCACAACACAACATCAGTACCGGAAGGACGGCATCCACCTGCGATGCTCGATATTTCAATCCTGAAATTCGATTTCATGAGGGCCTTCCTGGAGACTCTGATTTGATGTCCTGCTCTTCAAGCACCTGGTAAGGTCAGCTCTCCGATACTTCAGCAATCGCAAAATTCAACGGGATACCTCGAACGGTTTGAGACTTCGAGCTTGCATGAGCATTCCTCTCATTAGATGTCTGCGGCTAACCTCAGACTCGCTCAACCTGGACGTTCGGAACTATATCCATTTGTTCGTTACACTACCACCCAATAGAATAAATATTGCCGTACCGGCAGGAATCCGTGAGTCCTAACACCGATAGATATATAATGGACGCGAAAACAGGAGAGCAATAAACATGCGAGGGCGCGTTGCTTCTGCAGAGCATAACACCGCATACCTCCATGATCCTATGCCGCTCGGTTACACTCTATGTCGAAGCATTGAGATGGATCCCGAGAAGCCCGAGTGAATCGTCGTCTATTGCAAAACAAAATCGAGGTCTGGACAGCGTGATGAACCTTCTGCGTATGGTAAGATCTCAGTATAATGGACTGACTACATATCGGCCGCGAACTGATTGATACTGGTAACTAAGACGCTGAGCTCGCTGAGCTCCTTGACTTGTTCATGCATGAATAGCAATTGGCGCCTTTCGAGCTGCTGCTTCATAGTTCTGTTACAATGCCTCAAGAGCTCGATTTCCGCACGAAGGGTGTTTAGCTCGTTGAGGGCCTCCTTGAGTTGCCCGTTCTGAGCATCAAGCATCTCACACCGAGTGCATCGAGTGGAGTTTGAGGCTGGTACATGTAAGTACATGGGTAGATGCGTAGATTTGCGACAACTGTACTCACAAGCGGGATCGGCGCCAGCTGTCGTGTAGGCGCAGAGGGGGCTGAACACGCTGAGCTCGTCGAGGACCCCCAGGAGCTGCACATTCTGAGCATCGACAACATCGCACCGATCGCACCGCTGACGGGGGCGCACGGCTATACAGAAGTTCAAGAGCAATTCGTCGTGGTGCTTGGGGGAATGATACTCACAATGCGGAGTAGGACGTGGATTGGTCATCGCGTAGACGTGGCCGGTCTGACGAACCGCCGCTTGAGCTTGCGACAACTGAGTAGCCATATGACTACAGAAGGTTAAGAGATTGAGAGGGGCAGGACGGCGCAGGATGGCGTCGGGGAACAGGGATCGTAGCGAGTGTCAAGAGTAAACGAGTATTGAGTTGACAGATGTTTGCCTCATTCCTGAAGCGTATACCCAAAAGGGTTAGCATGGCCGCTGGTAATTCACACGATGTCCTCACAGGACGGCGTTATGCTGCCCGCTTATGGGTACAGTACTCTCGCTGAATGTCGTAGTACTTACGGAAACTACGTTAAGCATAGCCAGTACCACATAAGGCATCAACCGCAAGTACATCACGAGCATACAGAGTCCCGAATACAGCAACATCCTTGGCTACCCTGACTGAATGGAGTGCTTCAGAGGAAAAGTGTTCACATCCAATGCAGCAGCCCTGTTGGCAATTTGTTAGCGGGTGTGTCGCTTTCGATTGCACATACTCACAAAGACTTCCGAACACGAGGACCCCGCCCGCAAGTATAATCGTAAAAAACAGCATCCCACACGCGAGAAACAAGGTACCGAGCGAGATGCGAGGAAGTTCCTAGGAATAGTCAACGCAGCCTGCATTACACCAATCTTGACACGGTACCGACGATATTGTTGCTCGCCGGCATAACTGGCACGCGCTTCTTCGCCGTTGCAACGGCCGATTTCTTGCGAGCCGTTGTCGTAGCTTGAGCAGCATCGCGCCCAGCAGAACCGCCAACCTCAGTCGAGCCCTGCAACGCGCGTTCTTCTACCACAGGCTCAAATCGTAGAGGAACTGCGTATATCATGTTAGGCTCGACATAAACATCAAGCATTTACCGTACCATCAAATGCCAATACATGCACCGCGTGTATGAGCTCCATGTACGCATCTTCTTTGGAGAAGGTATTGCCGGTGTTCTGCTCGTGAACGTCAATATGTGCCAATATCAAGACACGAAGCTTACGGGGTCGGATCGCGTTTCTTGGGGCATGGTCGCAAGGCGCCTGGATGACGTTCTGCGAAGACAGAGCACGCGTAGACAGTGAAGGAGCTCGCCCGTGTACCAGCTTGAGAGGGCGGAGCACAGGACGTTATAGATGACCTGAGTACGATGCCTACGACGCGGGATGTGTTGCCGCCCGGATATTTCCGCATCATGCCCTCGAGAAAAGTGCCGAAACTTCTGTACATGTGGCAATCAAAACATGATATATAAGAAGGCACTCACAGGGTGGCGTTCCCTCGTAGGGCGCTCTCATATCGAATTGAGGAGTTCCCGGTCCGTGTCACCGGAACAGCGAGATACAACGGATAATACAACATACCGCGATATCATGCGATGAACGCACATCGGACATAAGTTCGGATGACTGCAAGAGACGCCGCGTCTAGAGACTGGTCAATGAAACACAGCCCATCATCCGGTAGAGTTTGACCACATAGTCGTTCCATGACACTCATAGCGTATACGTACACTGTGAGGCGGAGTATGGGATGGACTTGAGCTGGAAGGAGATTCAGAACAATGAGCATGCGTGGCTGTGCGCCACTCCCTGGCCTCATCGTCTGTCTACATACACCCCAGCACAGGCGAACTACCATTACGAAAGCCGCGATGTGAAATATATGGACCAGCAATAAGGTCCGTGCACTTCCTCTGGACCTTTCTCAGACAGCGGGGTGAAATGCATGCCACGAGACGCAGTGTGTGATGCTCAACGTGCGTCGCGGTGCGGCACATCTCGAATCTCGCCCGTCTGATCGTCTTTTTATTTTATTCTTTCGTATAGATCTGCTTCCAAGCGCGTCTCCTGAACGACGGTGTGCATCCAGGAACTATGCACAGCTTGCTGGATGATCGAGATCTTCCCTTCTGGCGACGCAATTCGTCGGGTCCGGCAGACTCATGCTTCATTGCTTGCATGCTCATCGCACAGTACGCCACTCATTTTGATCAACTGAATTTATTTACTGATTGCGATCAGCGTGATCTTTCATTAATCTCGCGTCAGCGTAACGCCTGAAATGGAGCCGTTCGGCAAACATTCGGGGGCTGCAAAGTAAGTCAACACTCGCATCGATCGCGCGTATCGTCACAGGGCTCACGTAGGTGATGTCGTAGATGCCGACGTCCAAGGAGAATCATAGGCGGAAAGCCGTGACCTTTGTTATGGATATGCCATGTAGGCATACATTTTCTCGTCTGAAGTGCAATATCCCGATGTGAACGCGTGCTTTTCAAAGAATGCTTTGACATGGCTGATTTGTCATTCCTATCCGTCGCGGTCTCGTTCTACGGGCCAGTCTGTTGCTCTACCGCCTGACTTCCCCATCTCGCCTCAATGGGTAAGAAAAGGAGCATCCCAAAGAGTATTCTCAGGTCTAAGGACAAGCCGTCGCGAGGACCACAGCCCGTTCTCGACGGTCCGAGGATCTCATGGCAGGGAGCTATTTCTCAGGAAGGAGAATGTTCCACCTCTCCCTTTATGGTCTTTCCGGGAGGGAAGACGCTCGTGCAACTCCCGACAGCATATCCAACCCAGGAGACACCAAGTGACAATCACGCACACGGCGCGGCCGATGGTGCGACCGATGATTCAACTCCACAGTTCGAGATGCCTTCTCCGCCTTTTCTCCCAGCTCGCGACGTGCCTCTCATTCCCGAGGATCATCGAGAACGATATGCCCGCAAAAAGTTGAATCAGTGGACCAGATGGCGGGACAGCGTCATCCCCGAGTTGATACCGGCCTACCTGACCTACGTTGCATCTACCGCTAATAGGCTTGATAAGTCCTTCGACCTTGTTTGCAAATGTGACGGCCAAAAACGGAAACTACAAGTTACGGTTGTGTACATGGACCGTACGTGTCATGCCACGGGATAAACTAGTGCTCACATCCTCGCTAATTCTAGGTTTGGACAAACTCGAAATTTTGATCTGCCCATGTATATCCGCGGCTCGTAGATTGATGTTTCTTGGACTATTTCCCTGCGCCCCCCAGTCGCCGTCCCTTGCATTTGACCTGAACATGGTTGAGCTTGTCTCGACCTTGTTTGCGAACGTCGCGCCCAATGTCACGGCTTGGGCGTCTACTCTGGAATCATTTCTCGGAGCGAGAGCGTACAAACTACAGACACGCGTAAGGTCCCTTTTTCACGAATGAAAGATACATACTCATAAGCGTAAAGGACTCCCTCCGTCGACGTTTCGGCAATGCGTTACAGTGGTACAAATATCTGGTGGACTGTGTCCAGAATAAGAGGGACGAAGTATTAGCGACCGCTCGGAAGCGGGTCCACGACCAGTTACGATCACGTCATGACCGCGGTACCGGTAAGTCTATTTAGGCCTGGTGGGCGCTGCTTGTTAATGAAATGATCTCAGCTTCGCTATCCGAAGGAGAAACAAATCCACAAGAATCTACTCCGCCCGACACCGGTAGCGCCTCGTTCCATCCCTCGTCTGACTGTACGCCGCCAGCGCTCAAACTGACCGATGGCATTCCGTCCGAGCGCTACTCTTCCTGTGCCCCATCAGACCTCCCGCCGACGGATCACACCTCGTCTGACCGCACCTCGTCCTGCACCTTATCCGGCCGTACGTCGTCCAATCACGCTTCGTCTGACCGCGCCTCGTCCCGCACCCCGTGTGACTGCACGTCATCAGCGCACGCGCCGACAAGAAGCACCCCGTCGGACAAATGCAGTGATGGAAGACTACCGGCCGAGATCACTCGATCCGACGAAAACCTCGCTGGACCCTCCTCGATTCATGGCGGCGGAACGTTAGGAGAGAGTCCATGGAATCCAGCATCAGAGAAGTCATTTGGTCAACAGAAGGATGATATGCCGAACGAGACTCTGGATGACCGTCCCAGTCCTTATCTGCAATCGAGGTGCTTGTTGTGTTTTGGAGGAAGAGGGGACCGCATTCCATCTATGTCGTGAGTATTCTCGCGAAACTCAAGTAAAGCATGAAATTCACGTCTTTGGATCAGTCTTGACCTCATAGTATGTCTCGACGCGTGTTTCACCCAGAAGCGATGCGCCGAACGACGACCATCCAAGGAGGATGGACCAAAACCGTATCGACCACCTGGGCGGCCTGGAAAGCGAGACCCGGTCAAGACACATCCTTCCTCGGTCTTCATATCTGAATGCGAGGTCCGCGCCATGGAGGCCGAAGTTGATCGCCGCCGTCAGAAGACAAGGCCAAGTCGTCACTCGCACGATGGTGATGGCGAATCTTCCGGCACATCCTCCAGCAAGCGCAAATATCGCAGCAGCTCAGACCATGACGAGGCTCCCGAGGAGGACAGGTGTGAAGGTCCTCTAAGGGTTCCAAATTCTGTTCTAGACGGATGTGAACAGTCCTTCAAAGCCGCTGACAACCAACGCGAAAAAGCAAGTACCCAATTCTTCGAAGATACTGGGTTGATGGCGTTGACTTGTCGGCACGATCAAGTACTTTGGCTGGCCAACATGACCAGTGCCGGGGAGCGACAACACTATCCATTGGCGCTCCTACGGAAGCTCTTCGAACACATACCGGAGTCTTGGAGGGTAGGGGTCTTGTACGATATCGGCTGTCAGCTTCATCGAAGTTGCTTCAAATGGGGCTATCTATCCAAATACCGGCATCGCATCGCGTTCGGAATCTCTGTCTTTCATGCATACGGCCATCAGTGGCCATGCCAGGTCGTTTACCACCCCCGCAAGTGCATAGGGTTTGGCCTCACGGATGGCGAAAGCTGTGAGCGCCTTTGGAGCGCGCTCGCTCATCTTGTAGCGGTGTTGCGAGTGAGCGGAGTGAGTACGATCAAACATACGGGTACCTCAAGATGACTGACACAGGCTTATTGTAGTATCACCAGCGCTTGTACGCTCTCGACTCCCAGTTGCAACATCTCAGTGGGCTCCACCGCCTGTCGTTCGGGGATTGGCTCATAAAGAAATACAATAATTGTATATCGCGACTGTCTGCTGCCAGAGAAGAACTCGAGGACTGCGGGATAGATCTCGCAGTCCTTATGCATGAATGGGCATCGCAGCAGGTCTCACAGACGAAACCTCTGCAACGTACGCTCACATCGTATGTCTCCTGATCGACATTCTCTGACATTAACATAGGACAACGGAAGAACGCAGCGGATAAGGATATCGATACTGTGCTGAATCTGGACGAGGTGGCTCGGGGATTGGAGAAGAAGATCAAGGACCTGGAAGGAGTGATTGTCAGCGGTCACTCTGATGAAACCACCCGCGTCGAGCTGGGCGAATATGAACGCCGGCTCGGGCACGTCAAGACGTCGGCGTCGCGATATCGAGCCAGGATGGACGTCCAGGAACGCGCTAAGTTGGAAAAGCTGCGAGGAAACAAGTTTCTTAACCTCCGTGTCAATGGCCTTGCGATGAAAACTCGGCTTCGTGATCGTTTGCGGCAGCGCAAGTTTGAGCTTTCGCGCATGGATCGTATGCCCCGTTCTCAATCATCTCTCTCTACCGGTACGTGTATCTGCTCCTGCCGAACCACGGAGAGCTGACGAGGAATCAGAACGGAAGCTTCACGTTCATGTCGCTAACGCAATCCACAGGCGCGAGCCTAACATACAAGCCCTTGCTCGTCGGTATAACACTCTATGTACAGAAATGGACCAGTTAATTCGGCGCGGGCTTGCACCGCCAGGGGCGGTTGCACCTACGCCTTTAAAAGCAAGTCAACTCTGGACGCTCGACGTCGACGATCCTATCTGGCATGACACTGGGCTGGTTGATGAGGCGGATGATGGAAAGGCGATCCCTCGCTGGCTTGCCGATGAAAACGTCCGAAAGGGCATACGAGCGATGCTCGAAGTTGATCGATGTGAAGAGGAGCTGGTGCGACTGCGTAAGGAGAGGACGACGCTGCAAGAATGGCTTCAGGATGAGTGGGCTGCTCTCCAGGGCGCGTTGGTTGATCATGGTGAGAGATCACGACAGAACAGCGTTTACGAACTAATACGTTTGTCAGCCACCAATGTGGGGATTCGGCATCAGCTTCACATGTACAGAGAGGAGCTCCTTCGCCTCGCGGTTACGTGGCGCCGGCGCTGTGGTGACATGGAGGGCATCCGGAACTGGGAGCCCTCCTGGGGACCAACTGACGACGAGATGTATGAGGCAATGCGGCACGAATTCCAGCCTTCAACCTCTGACGCGCAACCTCGCGAAGCACTTTCATTTGTTACTGCTGCTGGGGATGACTCGGACGACCCGGACGACTATGAGGATAACGACGGCCAGGTTGTTTATCTTGAAGAGGGCGAGGAATTGGATGAACAGGAGGCAGCTATACTTGAAACGATGGAATCGCTGCAACTTCATGCGCACGACATCCCCTCGGATGCTTGGTGGGCATTTACACCTTCGACACCTCTTACGACAAGTCCATCGAGGCCCTCGCGTATTTCGTCGCCACGCACTCCGATCACAGGCTCTCCACTGCGTTTCACCTTAGGCGCTCAACGACCGCAGGTGACATCCCCCACCACATCCTTCCGACCAGAACTTGGTGATTCACAATCAGCGGAAGGTGGCCCAGCAGAAGGTAGCGGTTCGCACTCGTATACGGTTTACTAGGAACTCATACGTTAACGCAGATCCTCCGTCATCGGCGCAAGGGCCCGTATACATCCAAGACGTGTTCTACAGCGTACGTTCAAGAGACATCTCATCTTCTCGTAAGGGATAGATCGGTGAACAATTCACCATGTCATATTCGTCACCCCGCTTGTATGGGATAAACAAATAAAGATTCGTGCCGCAATAGTGTATAGGTGTCCCTGCCGTCCGTCATTCTCCGAACCATCGAGCGCGAGCCCGACCAGCGCGGGCGGCATCGCCCCCGGTGGCGGCGGAGGTGTGGCCATGAGCGCCTGGTCGTCCGCAGGCGTGCCGGCCGGCGTTGCGAATGGGTCCGCATACCGGTCCGTGTAGCCGCCCTCGACGGAGGGGGTTGTCGGGCCCGTGCTGGGGAGGTGCTGGTTGAGGGTCAAATAGCTGACGGTGCCGTACCGCACGTTCGTGCCGAGGCCGAGGTTGGGTATCGTGGGCCGCGAGGAGGACGAAGGGTAGTTAAGGACGGAGGACGAGCGTCGCTGGCACATGTTGCCGGACCCGTCTGTGTCTGCGTCTGCGTCGTGGTCACCGTCGTCATCATCGTGCAGCGGACTGCACCCGAACCGAGCCGCGGCGAGCTTGGCCTGCACGGCGGTGAGGTAGCCATAGTCATTACTCACATATGCATGCATAGCGTATCCGTACCGAGTTTTTAGGGTGCGCTTCTCAGCGGTTTCCTTCTTTAGTCGTGTTGGAGCCGCCGCGTGCGAGGGCGGCGGCGGATACAGAGTAAGAGAAAGAGCGCGGCGGCGACGAGGGCATGCCGGAGAAGAGACCGGCGACGGCGCCATGGTTGGCGAAGAAGGTGTTTGAGGAAAAGGGCGAGTCGGTGGACAGGTGGGGTTCGCGATGGAGAGAAAGAGCGCGGTGGCGACGAGGGCGACGCCGATGCCGGAGAAGAG